AAGAAGATCATTTCTCTTTGAAGATTGAAAGTTTTATGACAATGAAGTTATTTATTATTAAAAGTTAAAACATTATTTTATGTCCATTATTGGTCTGTGACTCCTTGAACAAATGAGGACAAAAAACAGGCAGGCAACAACTTGGTAAAAACAAGAACCATCTTCCTATAATAATACTCATAACTCTGTCATTTGGTTACATTCAGGTTGAAAAACCAAAACTTTGAAAAGGGAAAAAGAAAAACTTGTTTAAATAAGCCAACGAGACCCGAAATACTGTATATATTGAAGTGATATTCACAAAACTTAGGAGAAACAAATAAAAAAAAAAAGTGGAAATAAATTATTTATTACTCGTACTATCTTCCCTTACCTATTGCCTTTCCTATTCATGTGTCTACATTAAGTTATGCCCAATTGTTGCAGTTTACAAATGAAAGTGTAAAAAAACATGTTCTATCAAGAGTGACTATATAATGTGCATAAAACATCATGTGTTGTTCTTCCAAGGAGAATGAGGTCTTCCTTAAAAAATTACAAAATACACAAAAACCGTGGATTTATAAACATTTTCAAACTGTCTTTGATAAGAAAAGCACACCCTTAGTATGCCTGTGTAAGATATCAAGAAGACATAATCAGATTATATAAAAGAGATGAACTTAAATTAAGGAATTTAAAATTGAGCCGGCTGTGGATTATGTATAACAGTATCAAGAACCTGGGGGAGGAAAGTTAGTGGGCCATTTGATGAAGAGAGGGACTGATAAAATGAAGACTCACAGGTCTCAAGGCCTAATACTTGGCAGGAAGGAAAATAAAAATGTCATGGAAGAAATGTTAGATTGAAGACCAACATGCAGAACATAAATGAGAATCCTCTGTGTATTCCCACAGTGATTACTGCGCACTAAGTATCAGATTTTAGAAGTTCAATGTTCATGTTCCCAAAATGAATACTCTTGCCCATTATGTCCAACAAATAATTTATATTAACAGATAATGAAACAAATCTCTTATAAAGTTCTGGAAAAAGACATATTCCCTTTAAACATTACTACTTTGATAGACAGTATAGTATAAATTATGAATCGTGTAATCAGATGACCTGTGTTATGTGCAGTATGCCCACTGATATGGATCTCTATGTGAAAGTTGTCTAGTACAGTGTCAAAGTTCTATTCTTGTCACGTTTTTACATACAAAAACGTAAAATTAAATACATTAATAACCAAATTTCATATCTGGATTCATATGTCTTGTTGCAGTGGTATATATATATATATATATATATATATATATATGTATTTTCTCTGATATTCCTAAGATGTTATATATGTGAACAAAGTATATTGTGTCAACATCTGTTTGTAGGTCTGCCATGTTCTGTTGTGTCTCCATGAACTCCCTATTTAATATTAGGATCTGACACCATGTAGTTTTGATATAAATCTTAACATTTCAAAGGAATGTACTGCCTCCATTTCAGGGTCAAAGGGTCAGATGTGTGGGGTAGGAGCCCTAAGCAAATGAGTGGAAGAATGGAGCCCTTAAACAGGCCACTTTCTTGTCCAAGCAGAGATTGGAGGAGATGGGAGAACTGCCATGAGGAACCAATAGGATGTATAGATAGGCCAAGTGAGTAACAATCTGTAGGCAAAGTACAGAAAAGGGGATGGGAAAAAGCATTCTCTGGCTGTAGTCAGTTACTTTCCACACATACCTACACCTCCCACTGGTAATTTGTGCCAGCTATGCCTATGCTCAGTTTACAGTCTCCATTTTTTCCCTCTTCATTATTCCTCATGGTTCACCCAGATCTCCTACCCCAGGCTATATGCCTACAATATTTTACACACCTGTCTTAACTGTGTGCTTGTCTTATTCTGTGACCCTGAAGTCCTCTAAAACATCAGTAAACTTCCACCAGACTGTACTCCTCATATTCACAGCCATGTAAACCTCGAATCTCAGTTCCGACAATGTTCACAGAATGTGCTTGTCTACAAATATGAAATTTTGGATATGTCACATCTATCAAGCAGGTACATGACAGCATAGCACAAATTTAGGAGTGTGAAGAAGATATTCTTAATCTGTAAGGTTACCTGGTTTGTGTTAAATTTTGCAGTGTTGGTAACATTCTAACAAGACATTGGAATATTTGAATGCTTCCATCTGCAAGGACAATCATTACATCAGTGGGAAATCTTACATAATTTCTGCTGATACTAATTGGGATCCAGGAGAGCTTATTTGGTATAGCAACGGGCTGTAGGCTGGATGGCCAGAATTAGATTTCTGGACTGGCTCTTGGACCCACCCAGCCTCCTATCAGGTGGTTAGTAGGATCTCTTTCCTCAGGGATGAAGTGGCCAAGGCATAAAGCTGACCACTCACCTCATCTAATACCAAGGTCAAGAAGGGTGGAGCTATAGTCAATCATAGGGACTACTTTCCATGTCACAAAATGCCAATTCCATGATGGTGCAGAGGTTCTGGCAGCAGCTCAGGGAGTACTTTGCAGAGGGGGCCCATCAAAACATCCATGGGGATCATTTCTAATGCTCTCTTCTACTTCATCCAGAATAATCCCTGAAGATGTCTAATGTGAATGATCACAATAAAGATGTAGTTGGATAGTGCACATGCATTTTCCTTTGTTATTCTTTTGGCTAATGCAAGTTAAATATTTGAGGTTTCCTTCTACCATTGCCCTTGTACAAGATGCCCAGTCTTAGACATGTGAAATGTCCTGATTTAGTGTAGAGCGTCATGTTAAATACTCCCAGGTTTTAAATTCAGTTGAATGTTAAACTGTAGAAGTATTAAGAGTCTGAATATTTTCAAATGTTAAAAATTAGAATATACAAAACTATAATTTTGCCTGTGGTTCTGTATGGGTATGAAACTTGGTCTCTGACATTAAGGGAGGAACACAGACTGAGGTTGTTTTGAGGAGAATATTTGGACCGAAGAGAGATGAAGTGACAGGAAGTTGGAGAAAACTGCATAATGAGGAGCTTCATAACTTTTATGCTTCTCCAAGTATAATTAGAATGATAAGTCATGGAGGATGAGGTTGGCAGGGCATGTAGCATGAAAGGGGGACAAGAGGAATGCATACAGGATATTGGTGGGAAAGACAGAAGGAAAGAGACCACTGGCAAGACCAAGGTGTAGGTGGGTGGACAATATTAAAACAGATTTCAGATAGATAGGATGGGGTGGGTTGATCTGGCTCAGGATAAGGACTTCTGGAGGGCTCTTGTGAACATGGTAATGAACCTTTTGGTTCCATAAGATGCTGGGAAGTTCTTGACTGGCTGCACAAGTGGCAGTTTCTCAAGAAGGGCTCAGCTCCATGAGTGAGAATGGTATATTCAAATGTAACACTGTTCTTTCTTAAATGATTTTTCTTATGTTTTATGCCTTAATACTTAGACTCAAAATGTTTAAATTGTTGTGACATTCATGACTATCATCCTGTTTGAATAGGAAACTGATTGCAGTGGACACCAAAACTGTTTCGGTTGTGACGCAAGAACCTCCTAACATCCTGCTGAGCAAAGAAGGTAGTAAGTAACTCTGACTAGAACTGCAGTTTTTGTAGATGCTGATTATCATGTTATTTACTGGTAGGGTCAAGTATTTTTTCTTCCACATCCATTCTGGGGCCCACCTGTTCTATCCAATGTGTACTGAGGGGTAAAGCGGCAATAGCGTGAAGCTGACCACTCATCTCCAGCTAGTGCTGAGGTAAAAAAATGCAGATCTATACATCCAGTCCCCCAAACGTCTTCATGGCATACTGCTTAAGTAATCACAGGGACAACTTTACCTTTTTAACCCTTTCACTGTCACTGACAGAACAGTTCTGTCATTGCAAATCAGAGTATGTGTTACAGTTGGAACTGTTCCGCTCTAGCATTGATTTTATGTTTTGAGAAATTCCACACCAAAAAAAGTAAAGCTGAAAACTGAACAACTTTGATGCAGACCAAGTTTTAAGAACTGCATCTATAGTTGCAGGAATGAAATGTCATTAATGTCCAAATTCTTGACAGTCTAGTACATACGGGCTAACACAGAGTTGATTGACACAGTTCTCTTCACTACAGTGAAAAGTTAAAATCATAAAATTGTGCAGCTTCAATATAATCTTTTAGGCAGAATAAAATTGGGTTACAATAATGCATTTTCTGATTTCTGGTACTTTGCAGACCAAGATTCCCATGGTCCTAGTGTGTGTGTAGTTTTCATACAGTTAAATTTCTTAAAGATTATAGCTTTGACTTATACACATGCTGTGGTGTAACTTTTGAAAATTCATCCAGAAAAATACCGTTACATGGAAAATGAATCAATGCAGATATGCCCAACTTTCCAAATGTGCACTCTCCTGTGTTAAATAATAACAACTGGCATTACAATTTTCATTTCATTCATCCTGTTGTGTTATAATATACAATTTCTTTGTTAAAACTGTCACAATACTGCAGAGCCAAACTTGGCATTGACCTTAATATAGTTGTGTTGTGACGGTTTTAATAAAGAAACTGGCATTATCTTGTTTCTCTATAAAACTGTCTGATAAAAGGTCTGTAATGGCTGAAGACTTCCCTTATACTAGAAAAAATTTAACTCTTTGGGACCACAGAATCCATAATTGGAGAAATTAGGTATAGAAATCGATGATTGAACTGCTCCCCCTTCACATTACCATATATAATGAAACACATGAAGATCAGGAAAGGGACGTTCTTCCCACACCTTCAATTCATGTTCCCTACCATAACCATCAATTCAGATTCAGTCTTTACAGTATAAAATAAATATGGGTAGGATTTGAACTTCTCACAGTGGTGGTTACAAAAATTCTATCTTCTGGGATCATGTAGTCGATGGAAAGTCCATCAACATTTCAGAGGAACGTGTTGCCTCCATCTTCAGGGTCAGAGAATAAGCCAAGCAAGCTGGCATGATACAATGATTGAAAGTAATGTCTATACAGTAATTTATGTTTACCAAAAAGAAAAATTCTACAATATATATATTATGTTAGTCTACAAAAAGTCATCTGTACACAAAATGCTGCTCCCACTTCTCATTTGGCAAAATATATGCTCAAAACTTAGAATGAAAGGACTCAAGTTTCCTTTCATTAATATCTACTAATTCCCTGAATACTTACAATAAGTTAATGACAACACAGATTCTCAATAACAGTAATTTTACATTTTAAACAACAACAAACAAAACTTATACAATTGTTTCAAACAACCCCACAATCATGGCTGGTCTCTCCTTTTCTTTTTGTTAATCACTAGTTAGAATTTGCTATTGTGTATAAAAATTCTCAATTGTGAAATTGTAAGTAAATATTTTATTAGAATTAAACTAGACTGTGCCACTAGTAATGTGTTACAGACTTCTCACCCTGTTCTAATCAGATTAGACAAAATAGTTATTTTAATATTACCGATTTTTAACTTCAAAAATGCATATTGAGGTATGAGATGGTAGCTTCCTAACCAGCAGGAATAGAAAGTTAAATTATTCATGAGGTGAATGTTTAATGTTTCAAAATGAACTTAGCTATTAAAAATATTTTAATAAACAATTATGTGCCATAGCACCTCTGAAAACAGTCCACAGCTGCACACCTGGTGGCAACTATGACCTCTCTGAGAATGTTTGTCTGTGTATCAGCCACAGTCTATGTTCGACGTGCACCCAAAAAATATGACACTTAGGAGACAGGAACAAAGGTTCTGGAAGAAACTGAAGGGATTCTGACATTGCTCATGCTATACTTTTTAAGGGAAGCAATTAGGTATTCTGAACAAATTGACTGGTCTTCTCACTTACAAAACAGGACTTCTGACATGGTTCTAAAAACAATAACCTATTTTGCTGGCAGCCACCCTGTCACTAAGGGACATAAATACAGAGACCTGTTCCTCCAGGTTGGGGTTGGATGCAAGGCTGATGACCTTGCTCCATAAAAAAAACTACTGTTGCAAAACCCAAAGAAGTGAAAACTGGATGTTCTGAGACAAAAAGGATTGTTTTACCAGTGATGAAGACAATTTCTCTAACACACATCAAATCATCTGTCATTTAAAGAAGGATCATATGAATAACATAGGGTACCAAAATATTCCTTTTAAAAATATAACACGCTTCACATTTTCATACAGTCAGTATCCTAAAGTTTATAGTTGCATTTTGAAAACAAATTATAAAAGTCTGATGAAATTTCACAACAAAATTCAATATAAACTTCAATATATTCAATATATAACTTTACTATGTTGACAGGACAGAAGGTTCAATGTTGCCATGTCAGACTGTAGGGTCTATTGTGTTGGAGAGAATGAGGTGGGGGCCAATATGCGGGAGTGCATCTCTCTGATGAGTGGGACAGTGTAGGCTACACACTCATCCCAACCTGGTGAACGCCATGCTGCCTCTCTGGTCTCCTTGCGTGTTTGGAGATCTTTGTAACCTGCACAAAATCAAATAAAAATTACATTTATCTAAAATAAATAATGTAACATTTTCTTGTTGGTTGCCAGTACATGGAAGGATAGCAAAATTCCCTAAGAAAGTTTTATTTATGGTGTAAATTTCAAAATACGATACACCTTTGACCATCCAAGTTATCCTCTCATACAGATGGTACATTATTCACTCTTAATCACAATTCTAATGATTATATGAACAGTAATGGCACAATGTAGTGTTAACTGGGGATGGTAGAGGGGAAATATAGCTGTATCTCCTGTTCTAATTCATCCCACTGCCCACGGGTTACATAACATGATGGATGACAAGATTGGCAGAAACATGATGAAAAGGGTAGGAGATAAAAGTACCTGTGTAGGTGCCAACATATGGTTTTATAAGCCATGTGTAAATTCAACAAGTTACCAACAGTGAGAAAAAATATACAAAGGTAATCCCCACTCCAAATAGTTGGCACATAGACAACCAGGAGTACACTGTATGTAATACTAAAAGGTGAAACCATCCCTTAACAGGCCATGAAGGCACATAGGGTTAACACTGATGTGTTAAGAAAAACATACAAAATGATCATGACAGTATGTGTACAAATGTGCATGAGTAAAATAAAAAACACAGATGCACAAAGCACTCTGATGACCTTGTGGCAATGATAAGTACTGTATGGGTAATTATAAATTGTGACTTCTTAGTTCAAGTGATATTTTGGAGAAAAATGAAGTTGAAAGCAATTGTACAATACATCCATAAAAATATACTAAACATTTTGATTTGATATCCTCTAGAAAACTTAATTTCAGAGTATTTCATGTTACTGCAAGTTATATTTAAGACAGCAATAAATTTATATGATATTTCAGCCATTATACTTTTATACTGATACTGAAGTAATAAAAATCAAGTATAACATCCAGTAGATGATCTTCATGAAGGGATTTAAATGTACATATTACTGCTAGATTTTAATGTATATTAAGTAATCTCCTCTTCAACATGTAAACTTCTGATTATGGTGCTACAGGGCTGAAACTTGTAAGGCATATTTTAGCCAATAAGTTTTTAACAACCACGTGGCTTTTATTATGTTATTATCAGTGTTAATTTTATTTAATGTATGACAAGTTAGATCTAAATTAAGAAAATCTATGTTGTGTGCTAACAAAACCAGTGTTCAGCTTAACTATTATTCTTTTTAGAAAAGCACACTGATATGCGGCAGTTCACTAGAACCCAATTTTGTCACCTTCCCTACCAATCATTTTCTCCATCTTCATTTTGTCCAATATTAATACAAAAAAAAATGTAACTGACGTAATATTAGTTTAATAATCACTCTAGAAGGTCCACTATTGTGAAAATTGTGTGTAAACTGCCACTACCAGCAAACACAAACCACATCCTGATACCATAATGTGAAAAGCAGTGTGAACTGGACTTTAAGCATATTTCCTTACACCACACATGATGAACATTGTAGAGTCGACCAATCTGAGAAAAGAAGGCTGCAAAAGCTTCATCATTATTACGTCTATAGTTGATAGCTCGCGCCCAGTTGTTTCCCCATTCAATCATGGTTCCGGGTTTGAGATTATAGCTGCGCATTTCGTAAATATTAGGACCTGTGCGGGGTTCAATAGGCGGCCAGTAGCTGAATGCCAGCAAGTACTGAAGGTGGCGTGAACGTAGCAGTTTGCCTCTCTCTTTCTGTAGTGTCACAAAGTCCTATAAGGTGATTTTCATTACAGAAGAGAAAATGTTACAAATCACTTTGAAATATGAAATAACAAATAGAATAACTAGACTACTTTAACTCATTTTTTTCTCTATTGTCTTTAATTTTAATAGAACTTCGGTAAAGTACTGTCCAGAGCCGCACCATAGCTCAAGCGGTTAGTCGCTGGCTTCCCACCGCGGCGGCCCGGGTTCGATCCCGGGTCTGGTCAAGTGGGATTTGTGGTGGACAAAGTAGCGCTGGGGCAGGTTTCCTCAGAGTACTTCGGTTTCCCCTGCCAATCTTCATTCCACCAATTGCTCCACAATCACCCTCACCTATCATCTGGGGCTGGTACAATAGGCCAGAAGTGGCCGCAGTACAAGGGACATAGTCCCACGCCACTAGCATTAAAAAAAAAGTACTGTCCAAAACATTATCCCTTTATTATGTATCAGCTTTAACAATTTTTCTTCTGAAGAGACTCATCTGTTCAACCATTACATTTAGATGGTGTGCACAGTCAGGAGAGAGTATAGCTTCTTATAGGTTAAACAGTAAACTTACCTTGTTCTGTGCAAGTGTCTTCTTGGCATTGTCGATAATGGAAAACCCCCCTTTGTAACGCCACAAATGTAAGGCTTGGTCTAGATCCCCTAATTCCACTGTCCAACTTGCAACTAACTCATAGTTCAACTTATGAGCATCAATCAGTTGGATACTCTGCTGACTAAACAGAAACAGAAATCCATATAAACTTTATTTAATCCGTTTACTTACACCGTCCAAACAGTATCAAAACTTACTAGTTTTCCAAGTACTTCTCTGATGAATCAGCCCTCACATTATGAGTTTGTAGTTCATAGATAATTTCCTTATCTGACAATAATCGGGAATGCGATTCTTTGGTAGGCTCTATACGCCGCACCAATAGTTTACTGAGCCACCCTTCATTACTGTCTTGAACTGACGATGTTGATGATAGGAACCTGCTAAGTATGAGAAATGAAAACTCTTGAATACTAGAACAAGGGTCCCTTGACTTTCCATCTGAAGTGAGACTTATTTGCATTCGTTTAATAGGTTATATATTTTGACAGAGTTTTAAGCGTACTCTTATTGGATTACAGCGAACTGTAATACCACATTATTAAAGTTGTACCTTTGCGTAAAATGTGTTACTGATACAGTTTTTGAAGTATAAAGATTTCTCAACTTCGCGAAAGTAACAGCCATGTTGACATATGACGTAATCACAGAAGTCCAACTTGAGCAGGGGGCGACAACTCAATGCTATTGGCGGGCAACATAGCCAGCGTGACGTCATGAAGCATCACTGCTGCCGCGGTGGCCAACGGACACTCTCTTGATACAATATGGCTGCCGCCAGTGCCGATGGCTCGATCGGTGAGAGGGTTTGCTATCATACCACCTGCCGTGTCGGTAGGAAAGTATGCTATCCCACCAACAGCCTATGTGCACTCCTCCCTCCCAAAGAATCACTACTTCACATGAATAGCTACAAATAATTTGCAATCCTGTCCTCTTGTACTACAGAAGTTCTTATTCCAGTGTGTTTTTTTTGTTTTCAAACTGGGTTAATATGACTTCACTCAAAACCACCTGGAGGGGCATGAACTAAGTGATATCAAACTCAGTTCAAAAACAGAAAACACACAATGGAGTAAGAACCTCTGCAGTACAAGAGATCAGGTTGCAACATTATTTTTGGGAGAAAGTTTCTCACCAGTGCCTGTAAAGTATGAACATTTCATTTACGTCAATTCAACACCCCCTTACTGAAATGCAATGGACATTTGAACAATAACATACATAGAATACTTTTGTTTAGGAAAGCTGATGGTGAGGAAACTTGAAAGAAAATTCTGTTTCCATCAGAGATACTTGTATTCAACTTCATAATTTTGCTTACAACTTATACTTGAAAGCTACACAGAACATAGCTTTTCAGTTACATTAATGTGTTATAAATCATGTATAGGGAGTAATAATACCGATTTTTTCCATTTGTTATTAATTTCAGTAGTACAATGAAACTTAAAAATATAATACACACTCTTGTTAACAAGATTAAGATTGTACAGAACTATAAGGTTTATTCCAAAATCCATGGTCTGGATAGAGTCCAAAATAAACCTTATAGTCCTGTACAGCATACACCATTGTCAGAATCCTTTAAAGTCTATTTAAGATTAAGATTGTGTTTTATAATATATGAAAAGCAGTAAAATAATTGCAGAACTCTGACAAACCTCATGATCTGAAACATACTCATGTTTCCAAATTCAATACTAAACATAATAATGTAGCCAAAATAATAAACTGAACAAATATAATGAACCTTGGAAGTCTGATATATATATACACATACAAAAATATGCTCATAAGGTCAATTTTGAACACAATAATATGGCAATTTTCCAAGGCGCACACCAGTCCACGAACTGCACATGATATTCAAAATTCCATACGCATATGATTACATTATTTTGATGTAGAATGCTTCTACAATATTATACTTTAGGCTATGCTACATACAGCACAAAATGATAAACCAACACAACAAGAAAACATACAACAGACACATGCATATCAACGGCTTGATAATCTTACATAACTTAAAATAAAATATTTTATTTCAAAAATCATGATATAAAGACAGGTAACTGATATTTTGATAATGTGGTACACGAAGCTGGTGGACAAATACACTCGCTTAAGATGATGTGAGAAATAAGTGTCCTCAGTGCGCACCTGCTATCAGGAAACCAGTTGCCTGTTTGAAATCAGTGATTGTTCTCGGAAATCGCTGTTGTGTTGCGGTTGTCAGTTTCCTTGGTGTGTGCCCGGGTTTAAAAATGTACAAAATGATATACAAGACTAACCAACAATACCATAATCTTAAGATCATTGTCCATTGCTGAAGCTAGCAACAGAGGATGATATCCCCCAACAATCCAATATAAAGCAATCTGCACACTTATACCATCTATATACAACAACACCACATCAGAACCAACCTGAGCCACCAAACTACCGTCCATCATTGTTATTAAAAATCTCCTTGAGAAAATAAAAACAGTTTTCTAACAAATAACTTTTTAATTTATTTTTAAAAACTTCTGGCAGTCATTCAGAGTGTAGTGTCCATATAACACAAAATGACTGGGGCAGGTTTTCTCCGAGTACTTCGGTGTCCCCTGCCAATCCTCATTCCATCAGATTCTCCATAAGCATAATCACAGTACAGGTACAATAAGAAAGACATATGGAGGCCGACCTCACACAATAATAACTGTAACCAATGTAATTTACTGTAATCTATTGCAGACAATTTTAAGTATTGTAACATTACTCTCTTATTGAAATCCACCAATGTACAGTAACTGACTTGCCTATATCATGTAACAATGACCTATACAGACGAAATAAATAAACATATAAATTTTTGTCATGTTCTGAATGCAAGAACTGCCAAATTCTCAAACAACTCCAGATTTGGTGAAAATTTATCCCAATGTTGTAGAAGTTATTATAGCTCTAAGTGAATAATTTTCATTTTACATCCATTAAGAGTCACACAAGCGCTATTACGTAGTATCATGTCATTATTCTACTGCAAATGAATAACTTTCAAGTGGTGGCAATTTGACTATTCCAATGCGGTCTTCAATATGAATCATACATTATATCTACACTCCTATGTTTCTATAATTTAAAATATCCCTAATACAGATATTTGCTTTTAAAAAATCTATACCATTGAAAATGTGTTATAACAAAAATATATACATTTTAATTGGAAGTACTCTGCAAACAACTATTCCAAGTCTTTAAAATCTGCTGTCTTTATGTACTTATCACTTGGGAGCTACTTGTAACAATGGGAATTCCTTTTGGTGCCTTTGTGATCAAAGGCTCCTGTCGTGGCTGGCTGTTGACCGACTGCTAACCACCAGCACAGTCATTTTTGGTTTCAGGTATAATCTATATCGTTGGTCCTCCTTATAAAATTCGGCCTGAACCGCCTGTGTCTTGCTGGAGTCCAGCTTCTGGGTGTGCGTCTTTACATGGCCGCTACCAAGCTTGTAGCACGCATTGTACCGAAGTTCCCATTTTGGATAAAACTGGCTTGACATTTGGTAAGGTGAACAAATGCACATGGATCTTGCTGACTGGAACTTTCTCTTTCTCTCAGCTGCAGTGTTGGAAGCTACAGTGTAGCTACAGTGTCCTAGGCATTCTCGTCTTCACTTGAGTGCTCCATGGATACTAGATCGTCTTCCATCTGTTCCATAGGCATCGAAACCCATCCATCCTCCACCATCTTTAATGAATGCATCTCTTCCTCGATTTGAGCATATTGTTTACCTTCTTCCTCCATCAAACTCTCCATCAAACGAATTTGAATAGCTAACCGAGCAAGGTGATCGTCCCGCGCTTTTATCCTCGTCTCCATTGAATCTATCACATTGTGAAGTTCAGTAAAGTATCTTTCCCTCGACTCCATCTCCTCCTTCATTGATTCCATCTCAGCCTCCACTTCAGCTTTGTGTTTGTCTTGTGCCTCTTGTATTAACACCACTATATCTCTCAACTGTTGTATGGTACTTTCACCCACCTGTATATTCTTCGGCAGCTGTGTCCAATCCTGTTCCTTCTTGTACCCCCCACGAAGACACTGCAGCATCACTAACAATAGGAGGAAAATGAAGATGATGTAAGGGACAGATGTCCACCTGAAAGTCTGCTCAACTTCTGGTAACCTCCACCAGCTACGTGCTGGTTCCGTTTTGTTCGTTGTGTTGAGAACTTCAATTGGAACTTCTTCAGAGGCTGACGGTGGTTCGACGACTGGGACTGGTTCGAAGACTGGGATTACTTCAAATGCTGAAATGTGTTTGGATGCTGGGACTTCTTCGGAGGCTGGGATAAGTTCAACAGCTGGCATTTGTTCAAATGATGGACTTGGTGTGAAGGCTGGGATTTGTTCAAAGGATGGACTTCGTGTGAAGGCTGGGATTTGTTCAAAGGATGGACTTGGTGTGAAAGCTGGGATTTGTTCAAAGGATGGGCTTGGTGTGAAAGCTGGGATTTGATCGGATGTTGGAATATATCTGGACACTGGGACTTGGGGGAATAGGTTTTTGGGATTTTTCACAAAAACTATTGATCCTGTGGCTATCATGAATAATAGTAACGTTCCTCTTTTACACATTTTTGCGTATTTTCTATCCTTGTTGTTAAAGAAATTAGTTCTCTCCTGCTTACTCACAAGGTCTTCTTAGTGCGTTACAGTCTTCACTAGACTTTGTTTGGTAGTGTCTTCCAACAGCGGACGCTTCTTTCCTCTGGGTTCTCGAAATCCTCTAATTCACGCAGTAACTCACAGACTGGCTGACTGACTAACACAAACTCATGAATCAGAGTCAGTTCTACTTAAATTATCTAGGCACGGACACGTAGAAAACACCGTTCTACTGTTACAATGCAATTGTTGCCGTGGAAACATGCTTGTTTAGGAAGCCGTTACGTAGAAACGGCTGGTGTAGTTACTTCTTTAGCGCTTGTTGCCTGGCAATGTATTCCGAAATGTGTAGTTTTCATTGTTTTTTTACTTCCCTTTGCCATTCAATGGTGCAAACAATTCGGCAAAACATATTTGAACCTTCGCTGCATCAGTAAAATTAAATAGTCACTTCTCTGTTTAACGCATTAATACACACTGTATAAATGGAATTTGAAGTGACTGATATGACAGGAAGAAATTTAAATGACACAGATGATGATATTACGCTGGGTATTCTGATTTCGTGTTCTCGCTCCTTACCGTTTTTATGCAACTTCATCGATATATTTAACATTTACACTTCAATTTACACTTCAACGACTTCCTCTTTTTGCATTATGTAAAAGACTACATGCTTTGTACTAATTGGTAGTCATAACTTGAGTAGCCTTGCCAACATAGCCACGGAGGTTAAAGTGCCAGGCATCAACATTGAGATGCAAGTCTATTCCCTATTTGTCTGTGTTCCGTAGAGCGTTGTGGTACTGATCCGTGGTTGTCATAGTGGATGTTCGTTCGCTGGGCAAGCGAAGAAGTGAAGGGTAATAGCCTGTGTTTCTAGACCTACACGTCCTAGCGGAGCTAGGTATCATAGGAATGGTGTTAATTTGAATGTGTTAAGTGTTCCCATTTGTGATTTTAAAATATAAGCGTTTAAAATATGACTGGGGTGTTTGATCAGATAAAGTTGCTGTTTGAGCAGCAGTTGTACACAAACGTAGTTTCATTGGTGAGCATTAACCCAGGATCTTGAAGAGTAAAACGGTTGTTTGTCATATGTGCAAGGATACATAGCTGTTATCTATATAATATTGCTTGCAATTTACTAACACAAATCATCAAAGAAAACACGTAATAGACGTGGTGCATGCTTGTATAATCACCTTGTTCGTGACAGCAATTTCATTACATCAGATCTTCTGAAACAGTGATGTACCTCTGAAGTCAACCGGAGGTAGAATTTAAGCTCATTAATTGACATACTCTGTAAAACAGTGTTCATTGATGTAGAAAATGCCGAAGATAGAGCGAATAAAACATGGCATATTTATATTTAGAGTTGAACATTGCAAATAAGAGGAGAAGAAAGCATAAAATGGGATATAAACTTCGGCAAATCATTTTTTTTAATGCTAGTGGGGTGGAACTAAGTCCCTTGTACTGCGGCCACTTCTGGCCTATAGTACCAGCCCCAGATGATAGGTGAAGGTGATTGGGAAGCAATTGGTGGAATGAAGATTGGCGACTAACCGCTTGAGCTATGGTGAGGCCCTCGGCAAATACTTGTGGAGCTGAGCCCTATTTGAGAAGCTGCCAATTGTGCAGCCACTCAAGAATTTCCTAGCATTTTATGAAACCCGAAGGTTCATTACCTTGTTCACAATAGCCCTCCACTGATCTCTGTCCTGAGCCAGATCAATCCAATCCATCCCATTCTATCTCTCTAAGATCCATTTTAATGTTGTGCACCCACCTATGCCTTGGTCTTCCCAGTGGTCTGTTTCCTTCTGGCTTTCCCACCAATATCCTATATGCATTCCTCTTCTCCCCATACGTGCTACATGCCCTGCCCATTGCATTCTTCTTGACTTGATCATTCTAATTATACTTTGAGAAGAGTACAAGTTATGAAGCTCCTCATTATGCAGTTTTCTCCAACTTCCTGTCACTTCATCTCTCTTCGGTCCAAATATTCTCAACACCTTGTTCTCAAACACCCTCAGCCTGTGTTCCTCCCTTAATGTCAGAGACCAATTTTCACACCCATACAGAATCACAGGCAAAATTATAGTTTTGTATATTCTAATTTTTATGTTTTTGGACAGCAGACAAGAAGACAAAAAAAACTTCGGCAAATATCAAATTAAAATAAGCAAGTTGCATTATTAAAGTGAATAGAGTGGAATTTACGAGGGTTGGAACTTTAACAGTGGTAACACTGCTGTAGAGATGCCATGCAACAGAACCAAATACTGTTGCTTATACCACACATAAGTGACATACCTACTTTGCCTCAGAGGAAATGGACTTTCCCTTCCCTCATCACGCGAATGTGCAGTGACGAGAGCAGAGCCTCGTGTTAGCTGGTGGTCTAATGTAGTGTTGTCACGATGTTTTCAAAACAGGAACAACGGAGTTGGATGAAGATTGAATGTGCCAGAGGCCGTACAGCACGACAGTGTCATCAAGGTTTTCAAGAGGTTTGTGGGGAATCTGCATTGCCTTACAGAACAGTGGCAAGGTGGGTAAAAGCCTTCAACAAGGGACACCAAAATGTGGCAGACATGCGTCAGCCAAGTCATCTTAATGTCAGTGAAGAAGTGTATGCTCTTTCCGCGTTACTGGAGAATGATCCGACGCCATATGATTTGTTAGCAGCTCGAGAGACAGGATTAACGCATATGACTGTGCTTCACATTCTGAAGGAATGCCTGGGCATGAGGAAAATTGCATCATGATGGGTTCCGCACAATTTGACGGAAATGCAGAAATTGCTACGATACAATGCTGCTCGTAACCACTTGGAGCACTATGAGCGTGAAGGAGAGGCTTTCTTACGCGGTATCATTATGCTGGATGAGACATGGACCAAATCGTACAAGCCACAAATGAAATGCCAATCGAACGAATGACGTCATTACGGGTCACCACGAAAATCAGAAGTTCGTCAGAACTCCAACAATGTGAAAGTTGCGGTGATTCTCGTGTACGACTGTGATGGTGTTATCCTAACGCATACCATTCCCCGACAGCAGACCATCAGTGCGCAGTATTACTGTTCATTTTTGGGACACAACCTGCAACCAGCTTTGAGAAAGAAGTGGTGGCACTTTCTGCAGAACCCACCCATCATCTTGCAGGACAGTGCTCGGCCGCATGCAGCGCAAGCTGTGGCTGATTTGTTCAATCAATGGGGCTGGGAAGTGCTGTACCATCCACCATATTCCCTGGACTTAAGCCCTTGTGACTTTGACTTGATTCCTAAGATGAAGGAACCAGTTTGTGGCATTCCCTTCAGGCAGTAGACCGCTCCATTCGACGTATCAACACCACAGGTGCTGCTAAAGGTATCCTACGACTTCCACATTGCTGGCAATGGGTTGCACACAATGGTGGTGACTACATTGAAGAACAGTAAAACTTTGAAACATGCATTTATTTTGTATCAGTTGTAAATAAATAGTTGCCACTATTAAAGTTCCAACCCTCATATTTACCTGATCAAGGATGCAGACCATGTCATAATATGAATACGGTACTTAATACCAATACAGATATAAATACATAGTTGTTACCACTATTTACACACATTATGCAAAATAATTATGTATAAGAAATATTTTGTTTATGCATATTTGTGAATTTTCAGCTACAGTAAATTCTGCAGAGCAAGAATTATTATGCCTTTATGAAACAAATTTGAACACCAGTGTTAATACCCTTTGTGGTTTCTAACTTTTATATAACAATATAGTAGTAACCTAAGTTGGCTGTGTTTCAATTACAGGCAAATCTAGTTCTCTCCGTGAGTGATCACAATCCTGATATATTAACAGTACCAGCAAAGTTCCAGACATATGTTTATTATGGGGACTCACTGTTTTACCTTGGCCAGTATCGAAAAGCAGAAGCCATGTACCAAAAGGCTCTTCAGTTTAAGAAACCCCTCCTTAAATCCAAAGGAACTGCAAAACCACAGGACAACCAGAAAGAACTGATGCCAGATATTGGTAAGTGCGGTGTACTAATATCTTATGAAAGATAGAAATACTTTTGTTTATTTTCAACATCTAGATGTAATTTTTAAGTATTTGTGCAGTAGTAAGTAATTCAAAAGGGTATAGTTATGGTATTATTGGGATACTTGCTCAGTTAATTGTTGAAACCACGTTACAGCCTGTCGAACCTGAGCTAAATCGTACAGTACCAAGATGTCATGGGGGCACGCAGTAACATAGTTGGTTGAGGCACTATGCTACAAGCTGGAAGGTCCTGGGATCAAATCCCAATGAGGTTATTGGATTTTTTCAATTTACATAATCCTTCCAGCCGCACTATGGCCCTGGGCTCGACTCAACCTCTAACAGAAATGAGTACCAGGAATATTCTCGGCGGTAAAGGGCGGTCGGTGCGTAGGGCTGACAACCTGACCACCATCTGTGAGCCGATTGTCTAGAAAATGTGAGAGTCGCAACATCTGACAACCCTGTGGGCCTGCACGGCCTGTTACAGGGATAGCTTTACTTTACTTACTTTTACCAAGATGTCATATGAAACTTCTCATATTTTCCACACACCATAATTTTATGGAGCAGTGACTGATTTTAACTACTACCTATACTTTTATGCAGATATAAAATACCAGATTCATGTGTGCCATGTGAACTTGAAGCAGAATCACCAGGCTATCGAGGAGCTTAGGTCTATTCCAGGGAAGTTGCGGAATGCAAAGATCAACATGGCACTTGCCAAACTATACCAGCAGGGCGGAATGGAACGGTCAGCCATTACATCATACAAGGAGGTGTTGAGGGTATGGAGTCATGTTGAAGTAAGGACCTAATTTAACTGTTGTGTAGTGTGCCCGTGATATCAGCTGGAACGTCTTAAGTGTGGTACACTTGTAAACAGAAGCAGATTCATGTTGAAATATATTTCACCTCTGCTCTGAATAATTCTCCCTAGAGACCATTGTTGGTTGCCATATAACATCAGTAGAAAGTGCCCCAGAAGCACTGAATTCTTATATACTCTCAGTCTAATGGTTGTTTGAAACTTTAGACATTTGAATGTTTATCTCCCTGTAAGATAATTAAAATCCTAGACAATTAAGAATGTGAACTTCCTTTGGTGTTTCGTTGTTAATACAGATTTTCCGTTATGTGTTACGAACATTAGGAATGTCCCTTGGCTTTAGAAGCAGCAGAGGGATTGCTGAGTCTTGGTGTAAAAGGGATAGAAGTGAATGCTCTGGTCCTGGAAGGTGCATCCAGTTTTGGAAACATGGATTGGTGAGTCATCATCTGTATAATACAGGATTGGCAAGTGCCTTCATTCTTATCTTTATATTTTTCTTCCATTTGTTTGTATTCCCTTTTCCAAATAATTGCTATGTGTTTCATAATCATGACTTCTTTATGCGTAATGAAACGGCGGTTGATGTAATCATTAATTTAAGGTTTTAGAGAAGAAAAATTGGTGTTTGGGTAAGAATCAGCTGTGTGTTGGTTTTTTGGTTATGTACAGGTTAAATTCTTGGATTAAAGCCCATTTTCATCTTCACAATCGAGAGTATGGTCAGGCTATTTCAACATTCCGGCAGCTGGATGAACGTTCGTCATTACGAGACAATCTCAACCTTCTAGTTGCAATGGGGGAGAGTTACTACTATTCTGGAGATCATAAGAATGCTCTTATTGTGCTGCAGAGGGTGAGTACTGTTGTGCCATATGGACAAATTGGCAAGCACTTTCACTCATAGCATTTGATGTCTTACGTTTTAAAACAACAGAATTTACATATTTTATTCATGCAATAAAATGTTAGTGAAAAAATCACATTACTTGGCTGTTACAAAATTCATGTTGAGAAATGTCTAAGTTACAGAAATAAATCATTTCAGTGTTCGTCACAAAAATAAAAATTTATATTATCTTGAAACTAAAACATCATGGTCAAGTCTGCACCACTGAATTGTCTCTACATTGTCTCTATCATGGTGAAAGTAAGACACACCGCATGCATTAGATTTGCATCTATCCAAGATGGTTCCTGTCTACAGAGCATCGTGACACCTGAAAAGATGAAGTGTACATCTGATACCAATACAGATAGCCATTTTACTTGAGGTGCTGTGGGTTTTAAAAAGCTGGAAGTCTCTTTCTCAGATCCACAGATGGTGATTTGAATGTCGACAAAATCTCATTAGAGCAATTTAATTTTTGTCTGGGCCCAAAGTAGCAGTGGAAGGGAGGACGTAATAAGGCACAAACTGTTAGACCATCTGTAGACAGAAACAAATATTTGGCTTCACATAACAATGGCATTGAGGGATTGAACTTTTCTTTTACTAACTCTGGTACGTTGGAGTTGGGACATCTCAGTCAGTATATTGGTGGGTTGTGGGCTTGATGGCCATGCACAGCAGGGAATCCACAGCATCCAGACCGGCTGTGGGGCCCACCCAGCCTCCTGTCCAATGGGTACTGGAGGCAATTTCGCTGGGAGTAATTCAGCTGGGGCATGAAGCTCACCACTCACTTCCATCTAGTGCCTAGGTCAAGAATGCTGAAGCTGTATCTCCACTCCCCCTTATGTCTTCATGGAATGGTGCTTAATTAATTAAGCACAAGGACAACTTTTTCTTTCTTTGCACTCATATGTTTCTTCATAACATAGAATTTTGCTTGCAGGCACGTGCTTTGGACCCACATATGCAGAGAGGATTGGATATTCTGGCTGCTCTCCTAGCAAAGGAGCGGAAACATAAAGAATTGGAGAAACTGATATCACCAAGCATCACCGTATCAGAATATGGCCCAGAAACTTGGATCACAATGGCTTATTTTCTGTATGCTACAAAAAAGAACTCAAAAGCTGCCTACTTTGCCCAAAAAGCATGCTTCCTTAGCCCACGGAATGTAGAAGCATTGATCCTCAAAGGTGCCATATTGCTGGATCTAAAGAAATTTCAGGATGCAGTTGTGCACTTTCGAGAAGCAATGCAGGTGTCACCACATCGCTATGAACCCCACCGTGGCCTCGTCGATTGCTATATTGCCATGCACAGGCTCAGAGAAGCCCTCAATATTGCTAGTAATGCCTGCAAGCAGCTGGGACAGAATCCAAGAGCCCTCACTGTAAGAACTGTGTAAATATATCTTGCTAACTCAGTAACAGATACTTTAATACTGCTGAACCTGATTTTGGATATTGTAGTCCAGAATACCAAACTTTATTTTCTTTACATATACAGTAGAACTTGATTATAACGTCATCAAAGGGACCTAAAAATAGTGTCGTTATAAACGAATGTCGTTGTAACCGAAATGGGCACTTCCACAGTAGCCTTATGTTAGTCACGTAAAAATCTACCAAAAACCGAGTTAAAATGTTGCATTTTTAGTGAAATACGTAGTTAAGTACAGACTAACGTAACATTAACGTGGAATTGCCCAAATGTGTAATATCAAAGACATATTACAGCGCTTTTCACTGACAATACACACCGCACTAATACTGTATATTAAAGGTAGGCCTACTCACCAAATTACAGTAGATTACATCAATTGTTATGCCTTACTGTACCTAGATACGAGTACAGTAATCAGTTATCTTCATCTGTTTCCTGTTACTTGCCCAATACACACTTTCTAAATTACGTTCAATGTCCATCAGAGAAATTCAGGAATGAAAATGACGTTACATACGAGGTTGATGCATTTGTGCATGTCGTACTAAGCAAGGCATAAAAACAGTTGCTTTATGAGGAATTAGTTCGTACCATTGAATATTTGATGCAATAGACAAGGTGTCGCAGAAACCGATGTTGCTATAAGCAAGTTTTACTGTATATATATCCCCCCCCCATTATTATGTTGTCAGCCTTACCCCATTTTTCAAAGGATTTTCTTCCAGTATGATTTCATACTGAGTTCTTTATGCATTTAATGTTTTTCCAGGCCAACCAACGTACCCAGCCTTGTTTTAATTACCATTTTAAGGCTGACAGAGTAGAGCTGACACAGAGACTGTGAAGTTCATTGTGTGTGTGTGTGTGTGTGTGTGTATGTTTAATGTCTCTCACAGAAAACTTGTGTACAGTTATTACAAATATATATTATACCTAGCTGCATGTTTTGACCTTAAATGTTATCATTGGTCTGATTTTTGTATTTTAACAAAACTGATGTTAATTGCTAATGTTGTTTATATTTTCCAGTATACTCACGAGTTTCATGTTGAACTTAAATTTGAAAGCATAATGTGTAAAATTGTTTAAACTGATTATAAAGTTATAAAATATATCAATTCACGCAAATCATCTTTATAATACCTGGTTCACATGTCACTGTATTACATTTAGTTCAAGAGCCATTTTGCTTATGTCTTGTGCTCCATGCAGTATTATTATTATTGTTAGAGGGGGTGGGTTTCCCCATGCACCACAACTAATAGTCTATTGTACGTCTCCCTTTGATATTCTACCAGTCGCGCCATACCCTGCCAGTACTGGTGCTCACAGTCAGCCCCGTTCAGCCAGCAAAGCTGGCAGTGGTTCCCGATACTTCCCCATCTACCGGAGGCATTGGAAACTACTTGGGCGGGAAACTTTGCCTAATTTTGCTCAGAGGTCTTCTAGAGACATGAGGATCTTTTACGTGCCGTAAATCTACGACACGGGACCCACGGCTTAAAGTCCCTCCCGGAGGACTTGTTCCCTGAATTTTTCCGCCCTCAAAAATTCCACGACCTCCGCCGGGTTTGAACCCGCGTACTTTGAGTCATGAGGTGGGAATGTTACCCCTAGACTACGGAGACCGCTCTCCAGGCAGTAACTCACTTCATTTGATATTGTGGAAATTTGATTTGCTTGTTATGATACTGTGTTGCTGAAATTCTTATGCATGCTCCGATGTTACAGTATAATTTTGTCATTATTATTCTAGCTAAGCTATGGTGTATTTTTCATTTTGTATTTTTTTCCAGTGTTATAATGACAGTTTTGCTCTTAAATGTATTGATTTGTAATTATAATATTTTGAAAATCATATCTTGTAATATATGGATCATGTGAATCATGTATTAAAGGTTACTGAAGTTCTTTATGTTGTCATATCCAATGTTGGAAAGTGGTACTTTTGCCAGGTTGTGAGGTGGATGAGTGTGTTGCGTTTATATATTAATGTTGGTTATGTGAATGATTCCCTGGTTGATAGTGCTTTTCCCTGTGATCGTAATGTTGGTATACAGTTTCAGATCTTGGATTAATATTGTCTGTGGATGTTTCATTGATATGTTGATAATGTGCCTCCCAGCTAGTACTATCACCTTTTTAGACAACTAATACATAATGTAACGTGGATGGCGCAACAGGAAGTAGGGGTAAGTAGGGGTCACATGAACTGTGCGTTTCTGCAAGTGACATCACGCAACAGGCGAGTCCGTGCAGAGACTGTTGCTAGGCAATCGGTAAACGTAGCAATTAGTCAGCAGGGAAATGAGGTGTGTTTTCCACTGTCTGACTGAGGGTTTATAAAGGAGACTGGAATGGGTAAGGTGTTAGTTGATATGCAGCGGCCGCCAAAACCAGTTAGTATTTGGAGCATTCAGTTCAGTGGAAGTCTAGCAGTTGCTGAGTGCAGTTGCGCATTAGCAGTCGGTTTCCAGCCTTCGAAGAGATGAGGTGAAGTCCAGCAGCCACGAGTTGTTAAGTTGTATCGAGTGAATGGCAGTGACTACAGCAGGAGAAGTAATTGTGATACTGCAGATGGCAGTAATTGGGACACAATTTACAGTGTCCCAATTACTGCCATTCACTTGATACAACTTAACAACTCGTGGCTGCTGGACTTCACCTCATCTCTTCGAAGGCTGGAAACCGACTGCTAATGCGCAACTGCACTCAGCGTCTGCTAGACTTCCACTGAACTGAAGGCTCCAAATACTAACTGGCTTCGGCCGTCACTGCATTTCAACTGACTGCTTACGCATTCCAGTCTCCCTTATAAACCCTCAGTCGGACAGCAGAATATGCACCTAGCTTCCCTGTTGCATAATTGCCGTGTTTACCGATTGCCTAACAACAGTCTCTGTACGGACTTGCCTGTTGCGTGACGTCACAGCCTAGAGGGGAGGGGTGTTTACCAAGCGTTGCATAATGATGGAAGGAGTGGGGGTAGGTGACGTCACTCGTGGAAACGCAGAGTTCACATGACCCCTACTTCCTGTTGCACCATCCACATTACATTATTAATGGATTATTTTATTAACAATAATAATAAGTATTATAAGAATTATGAAATCATGAAACTGATGCTTATATATATTTTTGTATGCTTTCTGCTGTATAACGTCCGTAGGTACTATGAAGGAACTTGGCAAGTACCATGTGGTATCTGGAATTCTGTTAATATGAGCATTATGGCAACATGATGCCAGCAAAACAGTTTAAACTGAGGATTATCTAAAGCAAATAAAAGCAGTGATGCGTAGAACATGCAGTTAATTTACTGAATATTTTATATAAGATGTATTACATGATTGTGAAACTGGTGGCATGAATTGAAATATCATCTTCAGTTTTCAAATTTAGGCAAATTGTCTATTAAGAAACTAACATTTTTGGTTTTCTGGTACAGCTATATGCATCGGTCCTTATGAAGGATCCACTTACTGTATGTAAAGCGAAGAGCATCCTGGAGAAAGCTCTTGCACAGGATGAGATGTATTTGCCTGCAGTGTACCTCTTAGCTGAAATGTATGAGCAGGTGAGTTACACATTCAGTCCTCCCTCACATCACTTCTCAAAAAATAATGTGCGTTATGTATAACTGTTTAATTCCTTGGAATTGAGTCCTTCCCGAGGAGCCACCAGTCGCTGAGCTACACAGGTCTTTCCTATCATTTTATGGAACCAAAAGGTTCATTACCATGTTCACAGGAGCCTTCCACTGTTCCCTATCCTGAGCCAGATTATTCCAGTCCATACCAGCACATATTTCTATATGATCCAATTTAATATGATCCTTGCACCTATATCCGAGTGTTCCTGGTGGCCTCTTTCCTTCTGGTTTTCCCACTATAATCCTGAATGTGTTCCTCTTTTCTCCCATAGGTATTCCATGACCTGGTCATCTCACTCTATCCCTTTGACGTGGTCATTTAAATTCCGCGGCCGCGGCTCCTGCGGTAATATATTCAGCCGGCCATTTAAATTTTGCTCGAAAATTATTTATTCATCATTGTTCTTAAATTCTATGAGATAGGAACATGAAACTTTCACTAAAATGATCTTAAATGGTGGTTTTATAACCTTACCTTATAATATGGGCGCCCTGTATCTCGGCCATGGAAGCAGGTTGTTTAGTATTTCAGCAGTGAATGGTACGCCTTGAAGGATGAAACTTTCACTAAAATGATCTTAAAAGATGAATTTTATAACCTTACCTTATAATATGAGCGCCCTGTATCTCGGTAATGGAGGCAGTTGGTTTAGTAGAAGGAAGGCCTTGAAGCATTCGTATAACCCAACGGTGCCCCACGTTCACCATTCTCCGCTCCAATATTGTGTATTTTTTTTGGCCCTTTTTTTTAACCACACATATGTGCGGCCTTGCCTTCTTACCCGTGAGGGGTATACTTCAAGGAAATGTCTTTCCGTGACCCGTTTAGTTGCCAGGTCAGCTGTAGTAAATTCAACGTTACGAGTTATCATAACAAGGGGTTGTTGCTATGCCTTTGATATTCCATCCATTTTGGCGGCAGGAGATGTCGTAGGGGTGACCACAGAATTCATGAAGTTATTCTAAGAACTGTCTGGTATGTAGTGAACGAAAGTAGAGCTTAGCTGGCTCAAAAAAATATTTATGGTCATCCCTCGAAACGACCACCAAGGTCAGTACGATAAAATGGAGTCAACTGGAGCGATAATGAGCGAAGGAATGAGTTCTTTTCCCTCCCCCACACACATCCGTATCGTCTCAGGGGGTGACCACAGTGTTCTGCCTTAAAATGTGGCGTTTTTCTAAGAAATGGGTGCTATGTACTGTGCGAAAGCAATCGATTTTGCAGGCATAAACTTTTGTACATCCCTCTTCTAAGAATTCCAATTGAATAGCCAGCTCAGGGCAATATGATATTATAAACACCAGCACATATCAGTCTCTGGTGTTTATAGCTTCAGAGCAAACAAAACACATCATTCATAACAGAAACAGCTCGCAATAGCCACAGGAACGTTGCTGCAAGACAGGCATATGTAACGACGACTTAGCGCTCTTAAACGCGTGTGTCATTAAATACAGTCCTCCTGACAACAGGCCAGTGAAAAATCTAACAATCTACAGCAAAACCATCAATTATTATGGGCGTTATAACATACGTGTGCAGCTGGACGAAACATACACGTCGAACCCCCCCAGACGATTTAAATCCCTGACGAAACATACACGTCGAACCACGGCAACGGGCTATATAAAATATAAAATTATATGTTACAGACATCTATTTGGGTTTCATATCTTCATACAAGGTGGTTCAAATATGACCAGGACTGATTTTTTTTTTTTAAACATAATTGCTGAACACTTACTGCACACGTCAGTCTTCAACGTACTCCCCTCTATGGTCAACACATTTTTTTGACTTTGGATCACTGAAATTGGTGGTTAAATGAGGAACATCAAAGGGGAGTGTTGCACTGTACATCCACTATGTTGCCTGTCCAAGTAGTGCCAAAATGATTCTCCATTAATATGAAGATAATTTTCAGGAGATGGCATTAGAGAGTGCAGTAACATTATTGGAGAAGCAGGTAGAACTGCAGCCAACTTGCAAACTACACCAGATGCTGGGTGACCTATTGGCTCGTGTCCATGAGGAAGATAAAGCCCTGGACCATTATTGTACTGCTTTAAAGTGAGTTCACTTTTGTAGCATAACTAATTGTGTTATGGTTGGATACAGTATTTATCGGATTGCTATGTCTCTTCTGTCTTTTAATACTTTGGTAATTTAGTACTGTATTTTCTTTGCACTTTTTACCATGAAATTAAATGAGGTGTATATGTTTGACAGTTTAGATCCGAATAACCGGCGTGCATTAGAAGGAATGCACAGGATAGATCACTCATCAAGCAAATTGGATACCTCGTATTTTTTGACAGTGGGAGAAGAAGAAGGGGGTGACACTACATATGAGCGAATAGCAGACTCTGAGAATGAGGTACTCTGTTGACTTGTACTAACTATACTTATTTGATGAAAGGAAATATTGTGACATAGTTGGCACCACTCAATTCTGTGTTTGTAGGTTCAAGGTTTAAATTTTAAGGTACCAGTATAATCCTGGGGATACCAGTTGACTAGGGTTGATACTTTATGATGGCAAATTATTCAGCCTGTCAGTATTCTATTCCATCATAATATTGTGTATGAACAACTTATTGACTCCATCACCACAATTAGTGTATAAACTTTATATATTGTCACATGTATGGGTGTGACTATAGATGGGGTTTGGGTTGGTGAATTCAAGTCATAGCTACAAATAAATATATCACTATCACTGATTTCCACAGTTCACAAATCATTGCACTCCAAGTCTTCTCAGTTTGCTTTCACCAGTCATTTCCTGATAATGGATCGTAAAAATGAAGGTCTCCAACTTCTGTTCTCACATCGTTACTGTCTGGCAAGTATCCCAGAACTGAACTCTTGTCAACTGTGAACTGAACTATAGTGCAATCTGTTCTCAACCTCCCTCACAGAGCTAGACTCAGTTGCCAACCCTCAACTAGCTCCTCAGCTGGCCTAGGGGTCCTCACTATACAACCATGGTGTGGATCCAACAGAAAATACTGCCTCGCAACAATTCTCTTATTGTTGTCATGTGAAGTTGCCTAGCAATAACCAGGATATTGTATCCACAAGAATGTGTGTACTGAGCTGTCGCTCAAAAATGGCAGTTTGTTTATTCGCCTATTACATGACAACGGCTGTACTCGTTCCTTCCAAGGTGTATGCCTAGCAATAGGTGCGTACACTACAGTATTATTTTATGTTATGTTCTGGCTCTTTATGGCCACCATTGGCAAATAACATGTGTAACCTCCCTCAGATGTAAACATTGGTCATCATAGAGGAATATAACCACAAAATAGAGAGTGAGGATAAATATTACAACATGACACCTGAACGCTGGAAGTGTGTAGTCAGGGAAACACCACAGAGACGTCCATTGAGATAATGGTTCAGTAAACCCATTTCTGAGGTTACGCTCTCAACAGTGGAAGGACAGCTGTTGCTGGATAGCAAGTCACTAGACACGTTTCAGTGACAACAGATATGCACGCAGTGACAGAGGAACTATTAGAAGTGGTGATCTCTATTCAGCTCACCCCAAAGTTATAAAATGGGGACAAACAATGGATTTGAAAGTTCGGTTCAGTCATAAGTGAGTCATCATTTGGCAGTCGTAAGAGAATTGAGAAGGTAGTCCAGTAGTTCAGTGTTCAGCTGAGGAAGGTTAACCAGCAGACAACAGAAGCTGAAGAAGTGACCGATTCGTAAATCAACCCAGTCAGTAGAAGAGAGGACTCTCACAGTCCAGCAGAATGGAGCAAGTCTAAAGGAGTCATTGATTGTGAGCTGTTATAATTGATTGTAATTAAGAGTTAATGTACTAAGTGACAATAAATCCAGGCCAGAACCCAATATTATTAATCATGGAACCCCAGACATGTGACGTTTTGGTGTCAGAAGTGGTTATGACCATAAATATATGAGAATATTTTGTCTGATTATGGCCATAAAAAGAGGAAACATGTTGTGAAATGCTATATGAAGTTTATACATGAATTGTGGTGACGGAACTAATAATTATTTTGTTGGCTTTAACCCTTTCGCGCGGTGATTTAAATTCCGCTGCCGTGTCTCTCCGGCGGTAATATATTCAGCCGGCCATTTAAATTTTGCTCGAAAATGATTTATTCATCATTGTTCTTAAATTCTATGAGATAGGAACATGAAACTTTCACTAAAATGATCTTAAAATGTGGTTTTATAACCTTGCTTTATAATATGAGCGCCCGGAATCTCGGCAATGGAAGCAGTTCGTTTAGAATTTGAGCAGTGTATCGTACGCCTTGAAGCATGAAACTTTCACTAAAATGATCTTAAAAGATTGTTTTATAACTTTGCCTTATAATATGAGCGCCCGGTATCTCGGTGGTGGTTCAGAATTTGAGCGGAGTGTTGCACGCATTGAAGCATTCTACTATACACAGCGCTGACTCACATTCACCAAACCAGTACTGCGTATCTCTCATTTGGCTCTTTTTTCCGTAAACAAAACATCTTCTGTGCGGCCTTGCCTTCTTCCCCGTGGGGGGAATATAAGAAGAAATGTCTCTCCGTGAGTCGTATCGCTAGCCAGATTAGCTGCAGTAAATTCAACCTTTATGTTATCATAACAAGTGTTGGTGCTTCTGCGTTTCATTTTCCATCCATTTTGGCGGCATAAGACGTCGTAGGGGTGACCACAGAATTCATGAAGTTATTCTAAGAACTGGCTGGTATGTAGTGAACGAAAGCAGAGCTTAGCTGGCTCAAAAAAATATTTATGGTCATCCCTCGAAACGACCACCAAGGTCAATACGATAAAATGGAGTCAACTGGAGCGATAATACATGAAGGAATGAGTTCTTTTCCCTCCCCCACACACACCCGTATCGTCACAGGGGGTGACCACAGTGTTCTGCCTTAATTTGTGGCGTTTTTCTAAGAACTGGCTGCCATGTACTGTGCGAAATCAATCGATCTTGCAAGAATAAAATTTGGACATCCCTCTTCTAAGAATTCCAATTGAGTGTGTTAGTGTGGCCAGCTCAGGGCAATATGATATTATAAACACAGCACATATCACGTCTCTGCTGTTTATAACTTCATAGCAAAGAAAACACGCCATTCATAACAGTAGAACCGCTCGCAATAGCCACAGGAACTTTGCTGCAAGACAGGCATATGTAACGATGACTTAGCGCTCTTAAACTCGTGTGTCATTAAATACAGTTCTCCTGACAACAGGCCAGCGAAAAATCTAACAATCTACAGCAAAACCATCAATTATTATGGGCGTTATAACATAGATGTGCAGCTGGACGAAACATTGACGTCGAACCCCCCCCAGACGATTTAAATACCTTGACGAAACATACACGTCAAACCACGCTGAACGGTTAACCCTGGGATCTGGCAATGTAAAAAGTTTATGTACATGGGGAATACTAGGCTCTTATATTGGTTCAGTGTGTACATAATCTTCACTCATTTTATCAGTCATTAATGAAATCTGCCAATTTGGTGCATCCAAGAATTTAAAATATAGTAGTTTTATCACTGTTTAGGCCCGTGACAGTTTAACTATGTTATCACAATGATTTTTGAAGTCAGTAGTTGGGTTAACAAAAAGGGGTAGAATAAAAAATGAAGATAAATGCATATAATTAAGTGGAAATTTTGGTGAATATAAATATAGTTGGTTACACCATATACAAACAACGGGGGAAGTTAGATTACATAAATGTATCCTACGGAACAGCTTCTTAGAAGGGAGAGATATTGGTCAGTTAGGAGATGTAACAGGCCAGTAGACTTATTGCTTGGAGTAGAGGAAAATGAAGCCTTTGTGAGAAGGACAGATAAAGCTTGGTCTTAGAATGTGAGGATAGCGCAGCTGTAGAGTTTGCTTTAAACTGCTAGTTTCGTATGACTTTAACAATTGTCGCCCTCACATGAAGAGCAGTAGCAGATTACTGGTAACATCTCACAGAGTTTAGCAACTTGTTTTTCTGTTTTGTTTTACACTCGCCCAGGCCTTCCATGAGAAACATGAATAATGATAGTAATGTAAACTGAAGTGTAGAAACTGTGAAGAGAAGAAAGAAGAATGTAGCATATATAGTTGTTGCTCTGCAGTGATTACAAGAAGGAACATGCATTGCTTGGTAATGGCCGGTAAACATGTCACCAGTACCCAGGCTATCACTAGGCAACTTCTTGGTAAACAGGTTCCTGTAACAATGGATATGCATGCAACAGTTGAGGTATTGTTGGGCTGTAACAGTGGAAATTGTGTTTTCTGTGTGGTCTGTGCTGAGATGTTATAAGCAGGACAGTCTGAAGCAACGAGTCTGTTATTAGTTGAAGTTATCATCAGCTCAGTTGAAAGTCAGCCTGTGAAGAGAAGACTATTGGGTTGGTGTGAAATGGCTGCCCAGTTAGTTGAACTGTCATTTGATGGGAGTTCTGCATGGGCAGCTATGACGAGAGGACCTGATAGTGGGAAGCTAAAAATCTCCCCTGGTAGAAGCGGTTGCCAGGAAATGGCTAGTGGAGACTGTAATAGACTGAGGACACTAGTCTGTGTGTGTCAGTGGTCTGTAAAGTATAGTTTTGAGTGGTGTATGCAAGTGATCAACAAATCCATTCACCAATCCATACCCCAGCTGTAGTCACACACTCGTAAAATGTTACAATAATAATGAAAATTCATTAAAAGGTAATTACATATATTTATCAGTGTCCATAACTTTATTCATGAATTTCAGTACTTACATTAGTGCAGATGTGTTCCATTACAAGTATAACACAAAATGTGAGCAAGAACGACTTTTCTGGTTCAAGATGAGAATTTGAAAATGGTTCAACAGTCTAAAATGAAAATGAGAATTTTCTGTACTAGACCAATGTTTTCACGTTGTACTAAATGTACTACTTGTCCCTTTGTGTATCAGATTCTTTTTCAGTGAGAAATGAAGAAGAAGAAATGTAAGGTCTGCCACGTATGTCTAATAGGATGTCAAGATATTGTAAGACATCATCTAAATGGAAAAGAAGCAGTGGATGTTTAAAGAAAATTCAGAACAAGAATTTCTGGGAAGAACAGATTGCCTGTTTACCTTTAATATGACACAGACCTCACAGAAAATGACGTGTCCAACAGTTCTATTGCATGTGTATTTGTTGCCGCAGTAACATTCTACCGGGTCATTGCCTAGCAGTGTTATGAGGACACACAGACTGGTGGAAGAGATTTATGAAGTATGCCATTGAAATGGGCTCAGATGCCATGATATACATACCAAGTTTCATCAATATTGGTTCAGCCATTTGGGAGTTGATAAGGGGGGGCACGCAGACAGCATGATGATTGCACAAGCCTACTTTTATTTTTTCAATATAAGAAAAGTATAGTAAAATTCATGTTATGGTCAGGTTAACCATAGAAGCAAGAAGAGCAAGAAGTGTTGCTTTTACATTCCTGTATATATTTTACTCTGTATTATGATAAAATTACAGTTTTGCTCATTTTGTTCATTAGGGAGAAGCAGATGAGAGTGAAACTGAAGCTGTGTGGTCTGACATGGACCTTGAACTGAACAGCCAATGAGGAGATCAGTACTAGTTCAGATGACTAAAGAAGATGGTGAAATAGTTTCATAATGGCTTGTGATTGAAGCTCCTGCAAGGAAACCAGGCTGGGCATTTTCCAGTTTGGAATAAAATTTGTGAGACTTTGTGCATGTAATAAAAAAATGTTAGCCTAAATTTTATTGTCAGTATTGTTTCTTTTTGGATCTGTAGTATGTCTTGATTGTAACGTATGTTGTGTTTCAAGCAGTGGCATGCGGTACTATTTTTAGTAAGTGAAGCAGTGGTATCTGATAAACAAACTGATAGCAAACAACTCACCAAAATTTACATCACTTATTGAGTCAATAAAGTAATTTTGTATTCTGTTCGATAAACCTGTAAATACTGTACGGTTCTCAAGGTGAACGTTGAGTTTATATTACCTCAACAAGTGAACTAATTCCACATAATTACCTCGGTCGATAGAATCCACGCTTTCGTCATGACCCCAGAGGGCAAGTTGCCTCTTTACTAAATGGCAGCTGATATCAATCAAGCGTTTCATTATTTCTCTATTTTCTTTCACATTTTCATTATGCTGTAGTATCGTCAGGTGCTTTTGATTGTCAAGTTTACAGTCAATTCGAGATTTCCTGAACATAACCAGTTGCACTGTTGAAATAATGTGAGTCTGAGAGTTCTCATGTCATTTCAATGCTTTATGAACATTGTTGATATCACCAAACCCAGTCTTGTTCCATAGATGTTTTTTCAATGAGAAACAATAGGCATGGCCAACAAAACAATTTTCCCATATTACTGCAACTGGATAGCCACTCTCTTTTAGAATACTGTTCCAAATTAAATTTCCTCACACATAATTTGATTTGTGCTTTAACTCTCATGTCAGTCGTCCTCTTTCTATAATTATTTTCTTTTCAGAAAAGTCCCTGCTTCCGTTTTAAAAGGCTTTCGATTGCACAGTCGCAGTCACGTTGTCTGCTAGCATTTATTTTAGCTGTAGCCTGTGCGTGTAGTCTAATCATGCCCCTGCCCTTGTACCACAATATCACACTTGCTTCCCTTAAACGCAGATAGCTTCTTTCTGATGCGTCAAAATACGATCACAAATACAATGTTACACCCTCTAAATATACATTTAAAATATTTTAATAAAACTTAAGGTTACCTATAACACCCAAAAAGACTGAAATCACACATAAACAGTTAATTTTCACATAACCAGCGAAAGAACACATTCCTTCGCTGGCCTAGCCAGCAGACCGAAATTTGATTCCCTTGACCCTTTCGGATTAGACGAATTATTACGAAGATTAACAAAAGGAAACTTGATCTGTCCCACCAAGCAGGGAAAGGGAGGAGGAGGAGTCATGTGGCCTTGAGCAGGAACATGCGCTAAATGACAATATTCACATCCTTATTATTCAAATTGAATTATTTATATATAACTTCTTTTCTTTTCGTTTCTTAACTACAGAAGTAATGCTTCCCTTGCTTCCATGCACAGCACACCACTGGTTTCAAGTAGTAGTTACTTTATTAAGTTCTCTTTGCAGAGAAGTGCTCCGATTGAATGTGATAACAATTTCAGGAAATGTATAATTCCAGGAATAAATTAACTTATCTTTATTGTACAGCAGACTATTACAAGAGATGTACAGTATCTGGGTACAGTAAATTAATCTTTTCTTCACATTCAGCATGTTTTATTTTAAAAATCTGTTTAAAGACATTCTGTCAGAACTTGAGAGAACAAGCCCTTCTATTGTCAATAATCCACCTCATTTAAGATGTTCCAGCCTGTGAAGTATTACTTGTGTCCAGTGCCTGTGTAAGTAATATACAGCTTAAAACTTGTCGAGCCATATTTGAGAAAACTGATGTGTGTTACTTCTTTGCTTTCAGTTCCTTTAATTCTCATTGAAATTTTGTTAATCAGTTAACTTTAATGAGGGGCTTGCATTACAAATTCTGGATTGGATGATTGAATTTATTGGCACCCCTTTCACAATTACAATTGATTATACCACCTCATGATCAATGACTATCTAAGATATTCGCATAGAATATTTATATTACAAGTAGTTACTATAGGATTCTGACAATGGTGACACACAGAGATATTTGGTTTTCGGACCAGGACAATGGATAAAGTCCGAAAACACAGTATCTCTGTGATTTATATTACAGTTCCATCCAAAATGCAGCCACTTTAATCCTTAGAATTTTCACTTTTTACAACATATTTCGGCCCCAACCGGCCATCATCACGCGCATCAATTCGCCAAAACTGTTACCTGCATTGAATATCGGTCATACATTTCACATGTAACTGCATTGTTCTATATTAATGTTGTGCTTTTGATCCAGCTAACATTAATCAATTCACCATGCACTGTGACTCACTTTCTATTGCAATTAACTAAAATGTCTTTAAATTTTTTAAAGTTCAATTTAAATTTAAAATTTTTAAAATTGTATTTATTCTTAAATTTGTGCACTTCCTTCACCTCTCTAGGGCGTCGCCCACTTGGCCAAACAGTATATATTTCGACCATCCTTGGTTTTGTTTCAGTGGCCTGTTTCAATGTGCAAGCCCATTTTTGCAGTTATGTTAGCCCCTGCCCATACGGCGCGCATTCCACCAGCCTACGGTGTTGTCCTCACTGTAGTAGATGTTATGCCCTCCAATCCAATTATTTTTTCATTTCGGAACAGAACATAGTGTTCCCGAGTAATGTGAACATGAAGTAAACGAGACTTGTTCACGCGTTTGAAACATTCGTCAACAGATGGCAGAGCACTGCGCTTTTCCTTCTGAACCGCTATACGTATCACAGGTTCTGTCCTCGTGTTGTGTATTGCTATGGTCACAATGAAAATATGCAAAAATGCAGCTATTTTTGTATGTTTGTCTGTTTTCATGTTTCAGTTAGACAGCAGAGGAGCTGATTTTTATGTAATCCGAAGTTTGGGTGTTTTACTAAAACGTGTCAACACATTCTAATTTTGGTTAAAATCGGGCACAAATAGTGGACACTACATGAAGACCTGCACGTTTTTATTTGCTGCGCATCTGAGCGTAGCTCTCTTAATATTTATCGGAGCAAAAATGTTTCGAAGCAAAACCGTGAAGAAAAACGAAGCACTCGTTTTATTCCCACTTCAGTTTTTCTGTTAGTCTTTCCGTTTTCGAGACAATTAAATCGAGGTGTTTGCTTGGTGTCGTCTCGCAAGTCGGGAACCGTTGAACTGATTTTGATCAAATTTATGTTGGAGATCCCTCACCCTGTATTGTGCTGCAGTATACAAGAGATCATAAAAAAATCAAAATTCGAAAATTGACACTACTGTCGTCTTCGGCTACACATGTATTGATGGCGGAAAGTTCAAATGTGTTATATACTTAATCTTCGCTACATGAAATCAGACTTGTAGGAATTAACTAACGAATAACGTGTTTTATTGCTGCTGATGATCGTGATGAATTTAGTATTCAGAGCCGGGATATCGTAGTCTGCATGGCGACTGGCCACGGTCTGGACGACCGAGGGGTCGGAGTTCGAGTCGCGGCAGGATCAAGAATTTTCTAATCTCCACGTCGTCTACACAACCTTCTATCCAATGGGCACCGGGGGGTAAATCGGTTAGGGCGTAGAGCTGACCACTCACTTCCAGCTACTGCCGAGGCCAAGAAAATGTGCATCTATACATCCACTTCCCCATATGTTTTCATGGCGCAGTGCTTAATGAGGTAAGCACAGGGACAGCTTTACTTTTATTCAGTTCAGACAGAGAACAGACGTTTCATAGTCACAAGGAATGAACCCGGTGCTCCAATATTCAGTCAAGAAGGAGCCCCTGTATTGCATTAAACCATGACCTGCCATAATGCCTTTAAAATAATTTCTACAAACAAATGAGCTTATTTCGGTTTGGAAACTCGAAATTAACGACCGTGGGGATCTGTTGCGCTGACCACGCGACACCCTCTATCCGCTAAAGTTGGCACTAACTTCGCCGACAAGCGGCGGTCGCTCGGTCGGTATAGTTCGCTTGCAGACTAAAGCCACGGAGTTTGTTTTTATGAGCTTATTTACATTTTAATATGTAAAAGTGTAAATCGTTCAATTTCAAAAATGAGTCTATATATGGGAGACCAAAGAGGAAGGTGTAGCGGCAAAGCCTCGGATTTCTATTTGCGAGATGCTTGGTTCGAATCGACCTGAACACTGGCTATCATGATTGAGGGGCCGTCGGGAAAATGCTGAGATAGCGCGTGTATTAGGCAACGGCCGCGTCGTTATTTTTTTTTTTCAAATAATTATTCACTCATCATCATCCGACGCAGAATAGTCTGAGATACTGGGAGCGCCGTAAAGTAATTCACAAAAATAAAAATAAACATAAAGAGCTTTCGTGCTATGGAATCTATAATTTTAAAATTGTAATTTAGCTCCACGTTAAGATAATATTACCTAGCATCTTTGTTAACACTTCTGAAACCCATAGCTGTAATCATTTAACAGTGCCATGAAAATAAGAACAGATTTTAAGACTGTGGGTTAACATAGAATTATTAATGAAATTTTAAAGCTCTTCTTTTGAAATGCGTACAAATATTGCTTACAAATGTACACTTCATTGTGTTATTTAAATATAACTTAACGTGGCGACGTTAAATTAGAATTGAAGAGTTCTATCTTATGGGTTATTACACCGTTTCGTTCTTTGAAAATCAACCTAGGTTTCAGAGAATACGCCGCCTTCATCTTCATGGCCGAAAAATAAATCAAGAGACCAACTTGAAGCAGTTTACAAGAAGAGGAACTCTTGCCGAAAACCGGAAGATCCTGCCACCTGCTTTCACACTAGTTTCTTGCTTCGACCCTGAAGATGGAGTCGATATGTTTCTCCGAAACCTCGGCTGGCCTTAACGTAGTGTACGGCGTTATATCTTAGAAATAGAACTCTTCATGAGCAATGCCGTGAGAATTTTTATCCTGAAAATATTAGAACTGATTCACAACTATGTATTTTATAGCATATATACGTATGATGTTCAATTTTTCTTGGTCGACACTGCACATAGGTATTATACGTGGGTATACGTGTATCTTGTTGCTGATTGGTGAACTGCGAAATTGTTATGGCATCTCCAAATATTGTATAAAATATGTCCTGTGTCATAATTTGAACGTCGTAGGGTCATGTTTAATGCTTAACGTAAAACCGGGTGAAACCGGTGGCGTAGTTGGTTGAGGCACTATGGTACAAGCCAGAAGGTCGCGGGTTCAAGTCCCGATGAGCTCATTGGATTTTTCAATTGACCTAATCCTTCCAGCCGCACTATGGCCCTGGCGTCGACTCAGCCTCTAACAGAAATGTATTCCTGGGGGTAAAGGTCGACTGGCGTGTAAGGCTGACATCCTCAATGCAGTCTTCGAGCAGATTGTCCAGAAAATGTGGGAGCCCCGATGTCTCTATGGGCCTCCACGGCCTGTTACACGGATACACCTTTATACCTTTATTTTTTTACGTCTGGATAGGTAGAGAAATGTGGTTCTTAGTGAGAATAAGGCCTCATGGATGGTTTCATTTGCATCATTCTGTCTCCTTGGTTGATGCTTGGGTTATCTGACGGCGCCCTCCAGTTGCGTCGAGAAATAGGACGACTGTAATTCATGAATTAGAAGCCAGCGTCCACGGGCTATTTAGCTGGAGGATCTGAAGAGACCTCAACGGAGCTTAAGGAATAATCTGCCTCCAGGCCAAGGTTCGAAACCAGAATATTCCAATGAGAAAACAGGTGTGTTACTTACGTGGTCTGCCAATAAAGTTACCGGACTGATGTGAAAAAAAGAAGAAAATAAAAAATCTTTGCATTTCTGTTCAAAGTAATCCCCGCCAATTTGAATACATTTGTTGAATCGTTTAAAAAGTTTCTGAATTAGCAAAAAACATCCAAAGAAACAGCATTCAGTTCCACCGTCACAGTTTTCTTAATGTCTTCAACACCCTGAAGCCTCTTTCCTTTTAGGGCAGTTTTCACCTTAAGAAAGAGAATATGAAATCAAGAAAATTAGGATTGTCTTGGAATGATGTGAATCTCCGTTGCTTCTGCTTATTCATGAATCTGTATGGAACGAACTTTGCACAGATATTTCTGTTCCGTAAATCTTCATGGTGGACTTGGCGAATCGTCTTCTTATTGACTCTTAATTCATCCGCCATCATTATTAGAGCTCGTCGATAATCTCGTGTCACTATCTTACGGATAAAGCGGCCTCCGTAGTCTAGGGGTAACGTCCCCACCTCATGACTCAAGGTACGCGGGTTCAAACCCGGCGGAAGTCGTGGAATTTTTAAGGGCGGAAAAATTCAGGGAACAAGTCCTCCGGTAGCGACTTTAAGCCGTGGGTCCGGTGTCGTAGATTTACGGCACGTAAAGATCCTCATGTCTCTAGGAGACCTCTGAGCAAAATTAGGTAAAAAGTTTCCCGCCCAAGTAGTTTCCAATGCCTCCGGTAGAGGGGGGAAGTATCGGGTACCATTGCCAGTAGAGGGGCCTAACTCGCTGGCTGAGCGGGGCTGATAGCAAGCACCAATACTGGAAGGGTATGGCGACTGGTAGAATATCAAAGGGGGACGTACAATAGATCAACAACTGGTCGCGGTGCATGGGGAAACCCACCACCTCCAATAATGAATGAATGAGTCTTACGGATATCTGCGATTGTGTCCGTATTTCGAGAGGTTGAATGACGCCCGCTTCTTGGATCATCCTGAAGATTCTCACGCTGGTCTTTAAACGGTTAAAACCATTCAAATACACTGCCACGACTTAGGCTTCATCATCATAGGCATTTGCAACATTTCATGAGTTACTGTTGGCATTTCACCCAGTTAAAACAAAACGTGGTATTAACTCGTTGCTCCATGGCTAAGAAAGTGACAGCTGTTATAAACCCATCTAACTCACTGAGGTGCTGCTCATGGAATTGGACTTTCTGTCCCCTGCCAGCTGTTGGCAAGAAGTAGAACTACACTTACATCGTAGGAATTGCCACGCCATGTGTATAACTACGGCCATCGACTGTTGTTCTTGGCAGATGGGAGAAGTTTGTTGTGGTAAACATACAATTTTAGATAGTTACATGGAGAGTTTTAAAGGCAATACCCGATACTAGGGAACGTTTTTTTTTTTTACTGAGGAAGGTAATCGTGTGGGAAATATGTCTGACATCTTCTTCTGTTATGTCGAAAGTCGACAAAATTTCCCTCTAACCAGCATTCCTCCTTTTCACAACTATTCAGTTTTATGCACACTGCACCAATAACACTGTTTCGAATATTTTACAAAATTTCGACGTACTGAAATATCGATACGCTTTCACTTTCGATATCATCTCCGAGCCCTCGTCCGAATAGTTCGCTGGTTCGTTTCGCTTTAGAAACTTCCTTGGAAATAATCTGGTAACTTTCCAAAAACACGTCTGTCTTATTTTTCAATTAAATTCTTTGACATTGAAAGTGAACATGTCTCTCGCTTCCTCAGATACAAATGCACATGGCTTTCATGCTCTGGGGCCAGTGCTCTTCGCTGAGATCTCTGTGATTCCCATCAGCCAATCGCGGCCTGTTCGTTATACTTCCCGCAAGGAACACCAACGCTGGATGGTTGCTTTCCAGGATTTGTATTCAGGAGTACTGTATCGAATCACAGCTTGAAGGTTTTTTCTTGGTGGGGTGGGACTAAGTCCACTTGGTATTGCGGCCATTTCTGGCCTATTGTACCAGCCCCAGATTATAGATGAGGGTGACTGTGGAGCAATTGGTGGAATGAAGATTGTCATGGGAAACCGAAGTGCTCGGAGAAAACCTACCCCAGCGCCACTTTGTCCACCACAAATCCCACTTAACCAGACCCGGGCTTGAACCCGGGCCGCCGTGAAGGGAAGCCAGCGACTAACCGCTTAAGCTATGGCGCGGCCAGCTTGAAGGTTTACCTCAGTTTATTCGGGTAAGACTTGGAATCGTGTCATAAGAATTGTGTAGGACTACCGCCATCCACTAGTTACCAGTTCATCATTTACCATCAACCGTCATCCCATTCAGCTCGGAATTACTGGGATTATGGACGCTGTCCATCGCCGGGAATTTAGAAACACTAGAGAACACAAACTTTCGGGAACTTTGTCCGTCGTCCGGTATTCTAAAAACTCGAGAGAGCACAACGTTTCGGAAACTAGTTCTTACCTGAAGACAGAAACAGATCCAGTTTCCAAAACGTCGTGTTCTCTTGTGTTTTTATAATACCGGACGATGGTCAAAGTTCCTGAAACGTTTTGTTCTCTAGTGTTTTTAGAACATAGGACAATGGACAGGTCCAAAACCCCAGTAATTTCGAGTGTTGCAGGGTTGCACAGTTAGAGATAATTTGAGTAGACATGTAAACATAACTGAGTCTATGACATATGGTCTTAGAATGAAGCTCTCTTACGGCCTCGGGCACGTAACCAAAAAAATCGCGTCTGACGCCCAAAGGTGTTACAGATGCGTATCATTCCTGGAGACTCATACATCTATAGGACTGCATTAGTCGAATCGAGTAAAGTCTTCCTTTGTCACATGTTGAGTCAGACTCGAATGATTCGAATGCCCACAGCTTCTTAACCCTCTCGTAAATTTTCCAAATACGATACTCAGGCTATCTCACTGCTGCACCAGTTTGTGTGTCAGAAATAAGTGTCATGGAAATAAGCTAACTGAACTATAAGTATACTTACTCATGGAGCTGAGCCCTTCTTGAGGAGCCACCAATTCTGCAGCTACTCAAGAATTTCCCAGCATTTTATGGAACACGAGGATTTGTTACCGTATTTACAAGAGCCCTCCACTGGTACCTATCCTTAGCCAGATCAATCCAATCCATACCGTTCCATCCTATCTCTCAAAGATCCTTTTTAATATTGTCCACCCACCACGCCTTGGTCTTCCCAGTGGTCTCTTTCCCACAAATATCCTATATGCATTCCTCGTCTCCCTGAACTATAAGTGTAACCTTAAGAAAATAACAGATTATAAATTCTTATATCTGATCTGATAAAGGCTGTCAACATACTTTGCCCAGTAATTACAATATAAGACCTTTAAGATTATCACTGATAGTAACGATGCAACTCTATAGAAAGGAGTGCTTTTGCAAAGTTGATAATGTTTCAGAAAATGTTCCGCTTAATAGAAACCAATGGCTCATTACTGTGTTGACTAGAGCCCTCCACTTGTCCGATAATCTAGCCCACAACCTCATGTATTCTTCTTTAAGATCAGTTTGAATAGTATTCTCCCATACAGACCAAATTTTGTATCCTTTTCTCAGGTCGTCCGTGTTTACTACATGCTGACACGTCTAAATTTTCCTTAAGTCGTAATCGTAAATGAGTACAAATTATGAAGAACCTCGTTATCCACGCTTTATATTCCTATGTGCCATTTATTTCCTCAACAGAATAATCCTAAGTAGCGTGGGAAATGCTACCACGCAAACTCATACGGGTGTATGATATACTCCGCGAAATCAGAGACCTATGGGTAGTTTGAGAAAGGTTTTCTTATCGAATATTTTTTTATTACTTTCGCTTTCCTCTTAATGTAGACTCGAATGAAATCTCGAAGATGGAACTCGCACTTACACTTGGTACTCATTTTACTGGACTTGCTTGTCAGTGCACTGCAATGACGAAGTAAAGCAGCCGCTTCAGGAAACGGCATGCGAATGTCATGGCCTCCTCCGAGTCCCCCACGCTGCCTGCTACGGCCACCTATCGCGTGCTGACGGTCCGACGAGCGTACTAGATTCTCAGTCGTACACAGTCAGCCAGCCAGCGATGTTTGGAGTTGTACGCCGTTCGAATGCGGCATGTTACCACACAGATGAACAAGTCAAGACTGTCTCATAGTCCTATATCGTATTCAGTGTTGTTTGTTGTTATTTTGGCTTCTTTGTGTTCCTGAGGTGAGTGCTTATTAAATATTTATAACAGTGGCCTGTGTTGCTATTATATGAATAGGGGTTATATTTTAAAGATTTAAATGCCCCACCATTAAAAAGTGAAATTATAAACCCCTTAGCCCCTTGGTAAGTGTGTGTTCCACCTGAATTAACACTTTTGTCTAAAGAGTGTACTTAAGGGTTTCGTAAGATTCTCAGAATAAACGGATATTATTTTCATAAACGTTTTAACCTGTATATTTGTAATGCAGACGCGGTATGCTTTCTGTAGGGTAGGAAATTATATTTTAAATATTATTTAGATGAAGTTTCTGCTTCGAAGGGTTGTAATTTTCGAGGACGGATATTCTAACGTAATGCAGCAACACGGAATTTTGCCTCCTGCATTGAATAAAATTATACGCAGATATTATGTAATTCCTATTAGAATTTTAAATTCATATCATTCACAGTTGTCACAATTCCACCTAATTTTTAATTCATTTAAAAATAAGTGGTGTCACTTTATTTTTTATTCTTATCCGTTTCATATCGAGGATTTTGTAAAGAAAAATATTCTTTTATTTGCGTATTACCTTAGAACTTCCCGATTTCCATGTATGGCAGGTTATCAGAATATGCTGAATGCACAGAAATTGGACAGGATATCATTAAATATAAATGCATGGTTGTTTGTGTTGCAGTAATCTCTGGAACTTGTGATTAAAACGTGAATTTTATACTTAAAACAGCGAAATACGGAATAAAACAGAGGGTATACTTACAGCAGTGATGTTACAGACAGAATGATACAGTGAGATAGAAAGCACAACTTGTATTTGCTAAATTTATCTCAAATTTCGTGAGAAAGGAAGTAAAAGTTGCGAGTGATACAGCTAAAACTGCTGGCTGCAAGTGGCTATATGCATCTGCTTTAAATATGCCTACTTCATATAGCATCTCCTTGTATTAAATAAATAAGCGATAGGGGATGGACGGCCTAGGAATCGGGTTCGATTCCCGACAGAGGTATCCAGGCTAGGGTCCACTCAGCCTCCTGCCAATGGTGCGGTGCTTAAGTACACTAATAACTCTACCTTTACCTTTTCACTTTTATTATATTAAATATTTATGTTCGTGCAATTCCATTAATTAGATATATATTTTGTATTTATTTGCCAATCTCCAAACTCTGGTCTGAAATATGTATATGTTGCATAGTTTAGACACGCAAGTATAAAAATAGCTGTCCCTGTACTTAATTCAGTATCATGTCATGAAGTCGTATGGAGGAGTGAAGGTATAGCCCCATGTATTCTTAACCTTGGCACTGTATGGGGGTAAATATGCCCGGCTTCTTCCCCCTCTGGTGAAGTACCCCGATCTGCACTGGATACGAGGCTGGGTCGATCCTAGTACTGGTCTAGACGTTTTGAAAAAGAGGAGAAATACTGGCCCTTCTGGGAATCAAACAGAGGCTCCTTGGCTTCGAGTCCATTATGTTAGTGGGTTCTTTCTTCAGGGTTTAAGCGACAGCGGCTCGAAGCTGACCGACCACAAATTTGTGTCGATATTAAGAATGTGTGGAACCATGTCTCCACTGCCCTATTCGTTTCCATGATGAGTTTCATTAACATAAAGACGACTTAATCCTTTATTACCTTACAGTACGTATTCTGTACGTTCTGTGGTTTTCAAATGGCTTTTCGCATATGCCCGTTGTTATGTGTTGGCCTACGGCCAAAATAAGTATTTCACCGTTTTCTGCTTTCTGTGTAAAGTCTCTAGTAAGAGCTCCAAAGAAACGCACACACCTGCATCCTCTGACCCGTTTCCAAGCGCCCTCTAAACGTATGGATTTGTGCTACACATCGTCCGTCATTAACAGATGTTGGTGCGATTAGCCATTTAAAGAAATGGGATGTCAAAAATAACTTCTGATTCTGTTTTGCCTATAATTCCATTTGGTACAAATAAGCTTGGGGCACGCGGTAGCATAGTTGGTTGAGGCACTATGCTACAAGCCGGAAGGTCGCGGGTTCAAGTCCCGGTGAGTTCATTAGATTTTCTTAAATTGACCTAATCCTTCTACTCTAAGTATGGCCCTGGGGTCGACTCAGCCTCCAACGGAAATGAGTACCAGGAATATTCTTGGGGGTAAAGGGCGGCCGGCGCGTAAGACTGACAACCTTGCCGCCATCTATGAGCCGATGTGGGAACCTCAACATTGCACAACCCTGTGGGCGTCCACGGCCCGTTACAGGGATACCTTTACTTTACTTTACTTTTCTTCAGAAGTAAGCTACCAATCGGTCATGCAGAATCTGAGAATAACGCAATTGAAAATTCTTGTAATTTCCGAATGATCTAATTCTACACTGTCACGAATTCTTACGTCGCATAGAACACAGCACTGGCTACTGTACAAGTTTGGGCTTTGTAATGGAATTTTTGTGGTATCCCTTCCTTACTTCAGAAGTCTATTAATGTGAAATAACATGGCCTGTACTCTTAGCCATTCCGAAGAAAACATTGTATAGTTGTAACCTTCTTATAAGGTGCTTGTAATGTGGCGCCAAGTCTCCGGCCAATGGGAGTGGGCTAACAGTGTAATGAAACATTATTTGTGTGAGTCATATATTTTGAAAGAGCCGGAATAGCGCAGTCGGTATAGCAACTGGCTTTACTGAGGGGTCGAAGTTCGAGTACCGGTGGTGGCAAGAATTTTCACTTCTCCGCGTCTTCCAGATCAGTTCTGGGGCTCATCCAGCCTCCTATCCAATGGATATCGCGTGCTCTTTCCCCAGGGGTAAAGCAGCAGGAGCCTGAAGCTGACCACTCACCTCAAACTAGTGCCGAGGTCAAGAAAATGTGGATCTATACATCCACTCCCCCATACGCCTTCATGGCATAGTGCTTAATTGGTTAAGCACAGGGACAAATTTATCTCACGATAGATTTTGAAATGACTAGTTTGTACAGTTGTAAAGCTATATAAATTTACACTGATATTCACGCGTGATAAAAAAGAGTTTACCGAACAATGTGCTTCGACGCACTTCGCGATATTGATTCAGTGTGGTTTGCAATTTCCTATTTCTGCTCACACCAACGTGTTCTGTGTTCAAGCGCACAGTGTACCTCTGTGGTTAAGCATCTCTCTCACAGGTGGAAAATCCCTCCGCCCTCCCGCCCCGCACCCCAGCCACCGATAGGCTATGCTAAGTGGAATGCAAATGATGTGCAAATAGGCCTACCCCCAGAGACATCGGAGCGTGTCCTCCACTGCTAGATTGAAGTGTCTTTAAGCACCAATAAAAGTGAAACGAGAATCTGTGTAGACTGTGTGTAGTTGAGACTAATCTGTGTAGACTGTGTGTAGTTGACACTAATCTGTGCAGACTGTGTGTAGTTGAGACTAATCTGTGTAGACTGTGTATAGTTGAGACTAATCTGTGTAGACTGTGTAGTTGAGACTAATCAGTGTAGACTGTGTAGTTGAGACTAATCAGTGTAGACTGTGTGTAGTTGAGACTAATCTGTGTAGACTGTGTGTAGTTGAGACTAATCTGTGTAGACTGTGTGTAGTTGAGACTAATCTGTGCAGACTGTGTGTAGTTGAGACTAATCTGTGTAGACTGTGTGTAGTTGAGACTAATCTGTGTAGACTGTGTGTAGTTGAGACTAATCTGTGCAGACTGTGTGTAGTTGAGACTAATCTGTGTAGACTGTGTGTAGTTGAGACTAATCTGTGTAGACTGTGTGTAGTTGAGACTAATCTGTGCAGACTGTGTGTAGTTGAGACTAATCTGTGTAGACTGTGTGTAGTTGAGACTAATCTGTGTAGACTGTGTGTAGTTGAGACTAATCTGTGCAGACTGTGTGTAGTTGAGACTAATCTGTGTAGACTGTGTGTAGTTGAGACTAATCTGTGTAGACTGTGTGTAGTTGAGACTAATCTGTGCAGACTGTGTGTAGTTGAGACTAATCTGTGTAGACTGTGTGTAGTTGAGACTAATCTGTGTAGACTGTGTGTAGTTGAGACTAATCTGTGCAGACTGTGTGTAGTTGAGACTAATCTGTGCAGACTGTGTGTAGTTGAGACTAATCTGTGTAGACTGTGTAGTTGAGACTAATCTGTGCAGACTGTGTGTAGTTGAGACTAATCTGTGTAGACTATGTGTAGTTGAGGCTAACTGGGATTTCTAGTCCTCTCAGTCCCTCCAACGAAATGCTGGGACAGTAAAAGTATGAAGTTATCCCTGTAATTAATAATGTAATTAAGTATAATGTCATGAAGGCACAAGGGGGATTGGGAATATAACCTCACACATTGTTGACCTCGTCACTAGCTGGAGGTGAGTGATCAGCTTCACGCACCTGCCTCTTTGCCCTCATGGAAACAACCCCACGGTTACCATTGCTATGATATTGAACTACCTCAACATTCTCCACGACCGCTTCTTTCCACATCCATGTACCATTCGATGATGTGTAAGATTGTCTTACTGACAATTTCGTTACGTAACTTACTTAATCAGTTCCTTTTATACCTTTACGGTGTCGAGGTTTTCGTTATTTTTATTTTGATTATTTTACAGACGGTAGGACTCCTTTGACGGGTGATCAGCTCGTCACAAGGCCTCTACCTAAACACAGAATAAGCGGCCTCCATAGTCTAGAGGTAGTTAGTTAGTTAGTTATTGGAGAGGGTGGGTTTCCCCATGCACTTAGACCTGTATTGGTCCATTGTGCTTCCCTCTATGATTTCTACCAGTCTCTATATCCTACCGGTACTGGTGCTTACCATCAGTCCCGCCCAGCCAGCGAGACCGGCTCTACTAGCTGAGAGGTATCTATAATGCTTCCCCCATCTACCAGAGGTATTAGAGACTGCTGTTGGGCGGGAAACGTCCGTTAATTTGGCTCAGTGACCTCCTTTGGAGATATGAGGTTCTTTTACGTGCCGTAAAGCTACGACACGGGACCCACGGCTTAAAGTCCCTCCCGGAGGACTTGTTCCC